AAAAAAAAAAAAAAAAAAAAAAAAGAAAAAGGAATGAGAAAGCAGAGAAAAAGAGGGAATTGAGAGAGGGAGTGGCAGGGATGGGGGGGGGCGCAAGGAGGGGAGGGGAGAAAGGGAGGAGGCAAAAGGGGAGAAAGAAAGATGGAATGGAGGCAGGGAGAGAGATCAGAGGGCCAGGGAATGAGAAGAGAGGAGAGTGGTGGTGTCAACTGAGGTCACCTTAGAGAGGACAGAAGCCATCACGTAGGTGATGTCTCAGTCTACTGCCTGTTATTTCTCCAACGCCTTTTTTTCCCCCTGAGATTTCTTCCACATCTGTGGCCTTTCCTTTCCCATCCTATTCCACATCAACATGGCCACGTTTCATTTCTGACTGCAGACACTCCTCAGAGTGTAGTAGGAGACAGCTCAGGGCTGCAGTTTTAGCACAGACCTTTGCTGGCTGTTTATAGCTCCAGCAGCCGGGCTTCCTAATTTAAGCTCCAGGTCTGTCTGAGACCAGCAGCCAGGACGCTCAGGCACCTCCAAGGGACTCCTGCAAAAAGTGCCTGGGGCAGCGGCCTTCTACCTGGACCCTCTTCTTTAGAGCAAAAGGAGAGGGCTGGACAGGTCATGTGATAAATCATCTGGCTTGAGGAGTGAGATGACAACCTCCGTGCCAAATGACAACCTGAACACTTAAACACTTACCGCACGGTAGAGATCAGTGAAATGAGCTCCCAAGAACCCCCACCTCTTTCTTGCTGTCTGTCTGTCTGTCTGTCTGTCTCTGTCTGTCTCTGTCTCTGTCTCTGTCTCTGTCTCTGTCTCTCTCTCTCTCTCTCTCGCTCTCTCTCTCTCTCTCGTGTGTGTGTGTGTGTGTGTGTGTGTGTGTTTAGCTATTTCCACCTGGCCTTATGTGTGTTACAGTACCATGGTAATGCATGTATATATCAACCAGGAAAGCCCATCACTTTTGCTATTATCTCAGATTTAAGAGCAGTGCATTCTTCTTGTTTAAATGGACTTGGCCTCTGCCAAACTATATATTTCATTTCTACAAGAGTAGCCGGAGCCCAGTGAATCAATGCCTGCGGCATCCTAACGGCCTCTCCAGTGGTCTGTCTGCCTCCTCACCGCTGGCCTTGCTTTAACCCAGACCTCAGCAGGGTCAGCCGGCTTCCTGATGCCCGTTCTCTGCTCCTGCACTCTGACCTCAGCGCAAATTGATTTAAGTCAGTTGCTTCCCCCACAGAAATGATGTCATATGGGACTTGGTCAGCCATTCTTCATCGGTATGATCCCCAAGACAACATTAAATACATTCATCAAAATATGTATTACAGTGTTTTGCGATATAGAAACCCACCTGTATACGCAAATGTGAGGTGGTTATTAAAAACTTTTTCCAAGCTTTGATAATTCTGCCACAGCTTTAACCCACCATGAATTCTATCAGCATGCTCTAGGTGGGGCTGCTTTTGACAGTTCAATGACATTTGAACGGATTTCTGATAAGATACCGAAGTCCTTCATGGCTGATGGGTTCAGTTTGTCCTAAATTGGTTGCTTTGTTGGACATTTTCCTCATTAGTGAATAACTTAGGGAAGAGAAACAAGAAGAGAGCTACACCAGACAGTTTAGTGAGAACACACTACGGCCCTCTCTATTGATAGTTGACAGATAAGGCAAGTGTGCTATGGACAGGCGAACTCTTTACATGAGGTCAGAGGTACTAACTGACAGAGGCAGGATTTCAATCCAGACATGTCAAGCACACAGTGAGAGAATAAGATGCAGGAAATGGAAGGCCAGGCTCCAGGTGCCTTGTCATGGGCTTATCCCTGTGACCAATGTTCTGCTGCTCAGTTCTAGTTGCCTCCTTGGCTAAAGCATATAGCCTTTCCATCACTATTCTGTCAGAGTTCTTCCGGCTTCCCACTCGGCACCATTTACACATAGTACACCCCATCTGCAATATGAAGTTGTTCATGGGGACTAGGCAGATAGTGGATGGAATAATAATTTGGTCATGCCTACCTTTGACATTTTAATTGAAGAAGCATTTTGCAGCCCATCAAAACAAATCAAATATTATCAGTAGTATCCTAGCGGCTAGAATGACAGGGCCTCTCAGCAGATGACATGGTCTTTCCTTGTCCCTGTGTGGTAAAACATCAGTCTCCCCTTTCTCAAATCCAACTACAAAAAAAAAAAAAATGTTGACAGTGTGGATCTGCTAAGTTTATAGAACACCAGAACACATATTTTGGAACTTGGAGGGTATTCTCCTCACTCTAAAAGTTC